CCATTGACAGTGTATAGTGTGGCCGGGCGGTGGAGGTGTGACATGATGGGCTGGACCGCATCATCTACCGATTGCTCTGTGCGGTGGGACTGCTTTGTTTTTATGAATGTAGGTAGGCGGTAAAATGGAGAGGAAGCACAAGTAGGGTACATGGAACTGTGCGTTTGACAACAAAAACGCGAAGGACAGCAGAGGAGGATGAGTTTGTTAACCTGTTTGGATTATGTAGTTCTATGGATTATGGTGGAATTGATAAATACACTGACTACAGCAGGCTGAGCAGGGACAACACTCGGTGAGAGAAACATCCATAATCAATGTTAGAGACCGCTTCCCGGTAAGCATACCTGTGATGTTGTAGGCTAGTGTCTACTTTGTATTTGAATAGGCCTCTAGTAGACCGCTGTGTGTATTTAATGTTTGAATAAGCTCTGTTGTAGACCGCTGTGTCTATTTTAGTGTACGATGTGGACTTTTTTCAGCTGATACACAACTGATACTTACCTGCTTATAATGGCAGATAACAATAAGATCACCCACATTCATCACCTGTAGATTATGCACACCTAATGCTAAGAAAGGCTTATGTAGGAAGCTAAGATGGATGATTTAATATTCCATAGCTCTGATCTAACTGGTCTATTGTTAACAGAAACAAGAGTTCTGACTCTTCAAATATTTTCTTTATTTTTTGTAGTTCATCAGAAAACTTCACAAACATACATTTCCTTTCATCGAACATAAAGCCCATCAATCATTTTAGATAAGAATTCCAAATAAATTAGTATTGTTATCATGGACCGATTTATCGGTTAAATTGTCGGCTGTAATTTAATTATTGTGATAATTTATTATAATATTAATTTCCTAAGTTATTGGCCCTGATACCTGTAGTGCCTAGGGTAGTAGACCACGTTCTGGTCTGTTACCAGCTGGGCTTGACATAATTATTGGAACATCGATATGTTTACTGATATGGGCCAATATGAAAACTTGATTGATTTTTTTTTACATAAAAGTTGCATAAAATGCTTGTGGTAATCTGTTGTTGTCAGTGTAAAGTGCTGTAATTTACGATACTGTGGCAAGCAGCACAGAGTCAGAGAGAAGAAGCGGCTGTTCTGAGTACCTTTTCACAGTGACATTGGTGTACAATGCACTTAGAAAAGGTCTTCAAAATAAGGTTTTCATTCTAGCTTAAAAATGTTCTATATTGGCTGCCATATCGGTAATGGGTGAATTTACCCCTGTGAAATCGGCTTGTACTACTGTTGAAAATCCTTATTTCTCAGGCAGTTCATCATCTGTTTTGTAAATGAAATGTTCATTAATTGTGAACATTTTCAGTAGGACTGGGCCATGTAGCTGAAAAATATATTATGATAAAAGTCAGTATCGATAATTGATCATTTTTAATGACCTTTTTTTAAATAAAGATCAGGTGAACAAATATTTTGAATTTCACCACTTTATAAACATTAGTGGTCGGCCGATATTTTTTTATGGCGGTTGCCGGTATTTAAAGAGCAGGGCTGCCGATGACCAATATATAATGCAGATATCAGAACAAAGTCAAATATATGTATAATTCTATTCTATTCTATAGGAAATTCAGGAATATGTGTACAGCTGGATGTATGAGAGTTACAGTCCTGGGCTTAAAACAGGGCTTGATGGTGTGTCTTTACACGCAGAGAGAGCCGCGATGGTCGAGAGAGCTCAAGATTGAATTAAAAGCAGTGAATCAAATAAATATATATTTTTCTCTTTCTGATTGTTTCACAGCAGTTACGTTCACAGCCACCTTCCTCCCTGCAGTCTGTAGACTCATTTTTATTTAAGAAAAGCTGCCCCGCTAACTTGATGATAAACACATTTAATGTCCCATACATTCTTCACAATAAAAGTCTATGGTTATTTTGTTATTTAAAAGCTTTGATTATCAAATAGCAAATTGAGGAAATGTTGGGTTTTCATCGGCAGTAAAAGCAAACACGAAACAGTAAAATAAAGCTGATATCTGAAAATACAAACAGGGACGCACAGAGATTCAGTTAAAAGCTACAAAGGTACTGAGAGCTGAACACTCGTCTGTCTCTGCTCTTCTGTACAGAGAGGAGTAGAGATGTCACAATTCCAGAAATCTAGTAGTTGATACTAATACCAGTGAAATTCCACAGGTCTCAGTACCATGGTAAAAACGTACCAATCAAGTTTTTTTGCCCCCGATCCCCATCAGTCCCGACCTAATACTTGTATTTTCCTAAATAATGCAGGGGAATAGCTCTTCATTGCATTAGGAAAATAATTATTCCATGCAACCAAGATGTTCCTTAATGTTTTTTTATACATAATATATTAAGATTATTATTATTAATATACTCAATTATACATACATATTTTATACTAAATAATTAATAAACAAAGTAGGCAATAAAATAGCTTAACAAACTCTGTAAAAAAAATTTATCTTGTCGCTGTCTAGAGGGAATTTCTCCCTTTAAAAGTGTCCTACAGAGTTTGTTGCTTCAAGGCAGCCTTGGCCAACCTGAGTAACCTGAATTAACTGTATTCTGCTGAGTGTTTATTTTCCTCGTCTGTACATGTTTTGTCTGGATTACATTACTAATTACTCTTATTTGCTTTTTGTTCACAGGGCTTTTGATGCACTGGCAGTGGCGTGGTAAGTGTGCAGCTCTCCACTGCTCACTGTAAATGGTAAATGGACCCTGCTCAAGGATACTCGGGCATGGAGGAGCCGGGGATCGAACCAACAACCTTCCGATTAGGGGACGACCCGCTATCACCACAGCCGCCCACTGTTTCGCCTCGGAGCATGTGATCAGCCCCCCTCGAGACGGTGTTTTACTGCAGGTAAATCCGTGCCAAGGCAGACCACCATAAACATTGGTGCTGGCCGTTGCTGTTCACAAGGGTTTCAGGAAACAGTTCATGGATGTGTTTTGTTGGAGCCAGAAGTGACCATATTTTAGACCAGAGTGTGGAGCTGGCGGAGAAATAGTCAACAGATTCTGGATCCATATTTGATCAACACTGACAGTTTGATCTGAGTTTGGTGCGTTGAACTATACAAACTCCCTGAGAATGACCTGTCAATCACAAGGTAGCCATGCTCTAAAGCATACTCTGCTTTATGGTCTGTTTTACTGTAAATCACTTACTGAATGAACATCAGGCTGTATGGAAGAAGACTGAAACTAGAGATTGAGACAAATAAATCTATGAGAAGTAGGGTAATTTTATGATTAGTCAATACAAATGCACTTCTTGAGGTGAGGTAAGGGGTATTCAGTTGGTGGAAATCAACCTCACTAGTATTTAGCGGTGTAGTTTCAGATATCAGCTCACTCGCTTTCCCCTCCCTTTCCAAGCACGAGGGAGAAACTATTGTGACCATGAAACATGCAAAACAAATGAATGGCCCTATCTATAGCCAGTGTTTGATTTGTTCTGCGCTACTGCAGGAACAAGGTGGCTGCCATGGAAGGCAACTCACTGCATCAGTAGATAAAAACAGCTCATTCTAAGGTAACAAACACAATGATTCTTATATTCAGGTGATTATACACGAATGAAAACATACCTATGAATATTATATTATTGTTATGCTAAATATGAGTGTTACTTTAATCTCTTTAATCTAGTGGATGTCACATTTGGCCAATGTCCAGGATGATGCTCGCTCTCGCCTACCGACTGTAAGAGTGCAAGGGTGAGCAACAGGATGCTGACTGCAGTTCACATACAGCCACTGGTTACATTACATTTTCTTCAGCATTCATTGTGTGTGTGTGTGTGTGTGTGTGTGTATAACCTCAGCAACGAAGACAATGATGAGGAGATCTTGGCGTTGTGCAGAAGTCAGGCTGTAGAGCAGAGAGCTGAGTGTGCTAACCAGGTAGTTCTGCTTGTCACGCTTCACTGTAGGAATGCCCATGACCATGGACACTGAGGAAAGACACACACACACACAGGTAGTGACAAAGAAAACAAAAGCAGTGAACAGTGCTCCCTATGCTACAATGACCATCATTTGGCAAACAAGACTGGCAGCTCTTGACCTGCTTGACCTGCTTGACCTGCGGTGTGATCACCCACACTTTACAATAACACTTAATGTGAGGTGATGGTGTGTGGGAGGCATCTATACCCAATGAATGTCACAACTGATCTGTTCTTAGGATGTTACTGGCTATTAGCCCTTTTAGTGACATTTCATCAGTGCATTTTCAGGCAGCCACAATGTTTTACCATTTTCAAATCAACTTTGTTTTGAAAGGAAATTATAATAAGGAAGGTATAATAGTAGGGGTGTGGGTTTTTATGGGTGTTTATGTATAAGTGCTGCATACCTCCACGGCGTCCCTGTCCTATGACTACATTAGGTTGGAGGCTGTCAGGATGTTGTCTGAGGTGGGGCATGTACAGGTAAATGTTGGGCTGGAGGAACGTCTGTAGGCCTGAACCACCTGGCTGCCTTACTGCTTCTGTCCACGGGAGAGAAGGGGAGAGGTCAATGTAACAGTCAGTCAAGTCGAGCAAGTTTTTGTAAACTACTATAAAGTATTTAACTCATTACAAAGCTCATTAAACATGTTAAGACAGCTTAGGGCGCATCTTTCTCTCCCTCATTTCCTGTTGTCTCTCTACTGTCTGTTGTTAAAGTCACACCATTAAAGTAACGTAACTGGATTACCTCAACACCAAAAATATTTATAAATTAAAGCTGCAAGCAGCGATTAACGGGCCCTCGCACTCCACGCAACTCGGGGTGTGCTGCGGCCACGTCACGT